TGCTAGATTTGGTAAAGGAAAGTCGAAATCTGATGTTGTCTGTTCTCACTGTGGATTCTCTGGGCATCTAGTGGACAAGTGTTTCCAGATTATAGGATATCCTCATGGTTGGAAGGGACCTCGAGGGAAACGACTTAATCCTACTCGACTGCCAATTGCAAACATTGCGTCTTCTTTGGAGCAAAGTACACAAACTTCATCCATGTCTTTTTCTCAAGAACAACTTCAGAAATTGCTTACTCTTGCCAATAGCCTCAGCACACAACCTGCTGATTCTACTCCTGCAGTTCACACTACTTCCACAGCAGGTAGTCCTTCCGATTTTTGTTTGACTGATGTCTCTTTAGGTACCTCTTTTCCCTGGATCTTAGACACTGGAGCAACAGATCACATGATCTGTTCTCCTCATTTATTTACTTCAATCATCATCCCTACTACCCTGCCTCTGTACATTTGCCCAATGGTCAATCCTTTCCAATTGTTTTTACTGGCACTGTTAAAGTCTCTCCTAATCTCACCCTTCATAATGCACTTTACATTCCTTCTTTTCGCATCAATCTTGTATCTGCTTCTCGATTAACTAAGGATAACTCTTTTGCCTTATTTCTTTTTATTCCAAGTGTATCATGCAGGATCTCAGCTCATGGAAGATGATTGGGCTTGCTGAAGTCAGAAATGGTCTGTACCACATTTCCCACTTTTCTGTTGATTTTCACAAGGATTCTTCTGCTGATGTTGCTTCATTTTTGGCCACTTCTTCCTCAATCACTTCAGCGTTATGGCATTCTCATTTGGGTCATTTGCCTCCTGCTAACCTCAAACACATTAGTTCTGTTGATTCTATTGTAAGATAGTCCAATAATAATGTTTGTGAAATCTGTCACTTAGCTAAGCAGAAGAGACTTTCTTTCCCTGTATCTTACACTATATCAAATGTAGCTTTTCAATTACTTCATTGTGACTTTTAGGGCCCTTTCTCTGTCATTTCTCATTCTGGTTTTCGATTCTTTCTTACTATTGTGGATGATCATATAAGGTTTACTTGGCTTTTTCTTTTAAAAGCAAAATCTGAAGTTCAGAATTTACTTAAGCGATTCATTACCTATGTCAAAACACAATTTAATGTTTCCGTTCAGACACTTCTCACAGACAATGTCCAAGAGTTTAATATGCCTATTTTTTATCATGACACTAGTATAATTCATCAATTATCCTGTGTCGAAACTCCTGAGCAGAATGGTCGTGTTGAAAGGAAGCATCAGCACCTGTTGAACATTTCTAGAGCCCTATTATTCCAATCCAACTTACCTCTCACTTACTGGACTGAATCCGTCTTAACAGCCACACATCTCATTAACATGACTATTTCTTCTGTCTTGGGCAATACCGCTCCCTTTGCCCTCTTATTTCATAGACCACCTTCTTACCATTACTTGAGAGTTTTTGGTTGCCTGTGTTTTGCTAACACGTTAAAGGTTTAAAGGCTCGCAGAGGCAAATTCCATCCTAGAGCAACCAAATGCATTTTTATAGGTTATCCACCTAATGTCAAAGGCTATAAAGTGCTTGATCTCACCACCAAAAGGATATTTGTCTCTAGGAATGTTTCTTTTCATGAAACAAACTTTCCTTCTATCCCAAATGATGTACATATTCCCTTTGTCTGTCCTGATTTTCCCCAATTTTTTGCTCCTTTATCTCCTTCACATCCTGCCCCCCAATGCCAGGATTCTTTCCCTCCTTCCCTTCCTACATACATACCCCATGATTCGTCCCCTTCGCATCCTGCTCCCGCTTCTATAGATTCCTCTGTTAGAAGGTCCACACGGCTAAAGCATCCTCCTTCATATCTAAACCAGTTCTACTGTGGTACTGTGGCCAGTTCTGACTCACCAGCTCTTGATTCTCCCATCTACTGCGTTCCTTCATCTAGTAAGCCCTATGATATTCTTAATTTTTTTTATCTTCCAAGCATCTCTCCTCCAATTATGCTGCCTATACCTCTGTTCTGTCCTCAACTTCTGAACCAAGAACTTTCAATCAAGCTAACACTTTTCCTCGTTGGAAAAAGGCCATGTCTGAAGAAATCAAAGCTCTTGAATTAAACAATACATGGGACCTTACCTCTCTGCCTCCAAACAAGACTGCAATTGGTTGTAAATGGGTCTATCAAGTCAAGTTTAAAGTTGATGATACTATTGATAGATACAAGGCAAGGTTAGTGGCAAAATGCTACACTCAACAAGAAGGCCTTGATTATTTGGACACCTTTTCTCCCATGGCAAAAATGACGACTGTTAGAACTTTATTAGCTATTGCAGCCACTAAGCACTGGCATTTACATCAGCTTGATGTAAATAATGATTTTTTTCATAGAGAGTTATATGAGGAGGTTTACATGCAATTGCCACCAGGATACAGACCATCTACTGATACAAAGGTTTACAAACTAAAGAAGAGTCTCTATGGCCTTAAGCAAGCCTCGAGACAATGGTTTTCCAAATTGTCTACCTCCTTACTTCAATTTGGTTTTGTTCAGGAAAGTCTTGACTTTTCTCTCTTCATCAAACATGAATCAGGAACCTTCATACATTTTTGATTTATGTGGATGATGTTATCCTTGCTTCCAACAACAACAGTGAAATAAATTTTGTCAAGCAATTTTTACATGACTCTTTCACCATCAAGGATTTGGGGGACTTGAAATACATTTTAGGCATTGAAGTGGTTTGATTAGAGAAAGGCATCACCTTATGCCAGAGGAAATATGCTTTGGATATCCTAGAAGATAGTGGTTTTTTAGGTTGTAAACATGTTGCTTTTCCAATGGAATCCACTCTTAAACTCAGTGCTAATGATGGTTCTTCACCTCTGCCTAATCCTACTCGTTTCAGAAAGCTGATAGGCAGGCTCTTGTACCTTACTATCACAAGACCTGATTTGTCCTACTCAGTCCAGGCCCTTAGTCAGTTCATGGCTAATCTCAGCCTTCTTCATTTCAGTGCTGCTGAAAGAGTTCTCCGCTACATTAAAGCAACTCCAGGACAGGGAATTTTTCTGGATGCACACTCTGATTTGCATCTCGAAGCCTACTCCGATAGTGATTGGGACGGTTGCATAGACTCAAGGAGAAGTGTTTCTGGCTTTACGATTTTCCTTGGTGACTCATTGATATCCTGGAAATCTAAGAAGCAACCCAATGTTAGTTGATCATCAGCTGAGTCTGAATACCGGGCCCTTGCCTCTACTACCTGTGAGTTACAATGGTTGGTTTACTTAATAAATGACCTACAGACTCCACATTCACAACCTACCTTGATGTACACAGATAGCAAACCAACTTCAGATATTGCTTCTAACCCAGTTCACCATGAAAGGATGAAGCATATACAACTTAACTGTCACTTGGTTAGAGAGAAGTTGCAGGAAGGGCTCATCAAAATTATCTATATCCCTTCTAAGCATCAAGTTGCAGACATCCTTACCAAATCCCTTGGTTCCCTTCACTTTCATCATTTGATACGCAAGATGAGAATCATAAATATTCATTCTCATCTTGAGGGGGGGGTGTTGGAATTTACAATCTTACCTTGAAGCTTTGGAATTAAAATCAAGGGAAGCCAAGTAAAAGTCTCATTCTGTGCAAGTAACCATCTGATTAACCCTCAATTAGCTCCTATAAATAGTTGTAAGCATTTGATTAGCTAAGTAAGTTAGATGACAGCTGTCATTTAGTTTCTTTTCTGTTTTTCTTTGCACGTGTATATATATACACACTCATCCTGTACAAATTAATTGAGTAAGAAATAATATTCTTTCCCCAATTCTAGCTCTGTTCCCCTCTCTTCAATTGAGCTATTTTACAGTTTGTGATATTAGATGGTATCAATAATTATCTACGACAGTCAACAAGGTGAAGGCTATTCAATAAGTAGGCTATGTAGAGCACCCCATGCTAGGTTGTCTATCACTACAAGACCTTTTGATTGCATGCTAGGTCTTCTACCACTACAAAGCCATCCACTTCTATGCTAGGATGTTTACTGTTACGAGGCCCTCTACGTCCACACTGGGCTATTGATCACAATGAGATCCTCTTCATTCATACTAAACGTCTACCATTATGAGGCTGTTAACTACTATGAGGGCAACACAACACTTAACCATAAAAACATTCTTCAGTTGGATGGAAACCGTTCAACAGTTCTCATGTACACAACTAAGTGCTGGATAAGTGGTTGTCCTCCACTCGAAACGTGGGGGTGGTGGGAGATGCTACGTAAGACACGTGGCATGATAATTGCCCAATAGATATATGGCTCCAGTCACCTATAAATACTCTTAAGACGAGAAATGTATGGGTCTTGAAATTTTGGCTATCTAAATACATATTCTTTCCTTCCTTCCTAAGTCTACGTTTTTAAAATTCCTTACTAATTTTCATGCCGGAGGTACAACGGGAGAGAAAGCTTCAATCTCATTTCGTAGGTAACATTTTAATTTTAGTTCGCCAATTTCATCGTCCAGGTATTCTTGAAGAATTTGTACAAGGATCTAACACAACACTTGTGACTTCGATTAACATAAAGTAATAGAGATACCAAGATAACCTTGTAAAATAATCATGATAGTATCTCCGGCATCCTTTGCTCCAACAGGACAATATTTTGATCTAATTTTGACACAGAACAATTTTTGGTAAAATAACATCCTCCGTTGCCAATATCACATGGATCCCCATATACTGAATATCAGAGTTATCATATGCAGTGGTAACTACTACTACTAAAAAAAGCAAGGGATTATTGAAAGTAAAAAAATTCATCATTCATTAATTCTGCAAACACAATTGTAAATCCATGTTTGGTATAGAGTTTGGACAGGAGTGAACAGTTCTATAGACAAAATTAAAGCTTTTTCTTCTTCTTTAATATTGTCCAATACTGTTAAGTCCACCTTACCATACATCTAGAGTTAGAAGCTATACAAAAGATGACCTATTTATTCCTTCCCTCTGACTTCCAGTGCATCTGCCAAGTTAAAGTTCAAATTGCCTCTCATGGTTCTACCCCCAACACCAGCATTACCCTTCCTCATCATCGTAGCAAATTCTCCATAATCTATACGGCCATCCTGCAATGATAGAGTTAAATAACAACGTTAGCTTTAAGGATTTCGAGCACTGAAATTACAGTTATGAATACGTACATTGTCTATGTCGATTTCACTAATTATGTCCTCCAGATGAACATCCCCGAGGCCAAAATCCTTGCACGCCTGTTGAAGCTCATCAACGGTGATATAACCACTTCCATCCTTGTCGAAGAAAGAAAATGCAGCAAGCAAATTTTCCTCCCTTTCCATCTTATTCATATGTAAGGTTGCAGCAAGAAATTCACCATAGTCAATAGTCCCGTTGTTGTCAATATCAGCCTGCCAGAAAACGTACTATCTGAATATTGTCTGAGCATTCGGTGAAAACTATGTTCTAGAATATAGATACTAGGTATACCGCGTTCATAAGTGCCTTGATTTCGGATTCCATTAATTCAGAGCCGACTCTCTTTAGACCTTGTTTAAGTTCCTCAAACGTTATTGTCCCACTATTATCTGTATCAATCATCTTGAACAATTGTCTCAATCCACCGATTTCTTCTTCTGAAAGTCTTTCTGCTATGACCTGCATAAGGTAGGTTCTTGAAAAATGTATTATCAATGACGAACTGTATCAAAATCTTAAAATTTACATTCAAATTGGGTACTAATTGAGTATTTAGTTAACAGATCAAGTTGGTAATCTTGCTTCTGTAAGAATGGAGAATAATAATCGAAGACAATAATTCTGGAACTCAAATCACTTCATGGACCTATTCAACGTAAGAAAATAAGAAAGACACCAAACGGGAACATACACGCAGTGCCATCTTTTTAAGTTTGTTCATGGCGCAGAACTGTTTTAGGCGTGAGAGTACCGCAGATCCTAAAGGTTTGTCCGGGGCAACTGTATCATCCACAATCCAAGGATGACCTATTACGAAAGCCAACTTTCCTCTGTTTAATAATATGTAAAATGAGAACAGACATGATTCATATGAGAAGCAAGTATCCGACTTACATAGGACTTCATGAGCAGATATTCGACTTCTAGGGTCTCTATCGAGCATCTTTCCTATAAGATCTTTTGCACTATCTGAAATGTTTGGCCATGGTTCAGATTCGAAATCTATTTTCCCTTTCAGAATTTGTCTGAAGATACCATTATCTGTCTCTGCAAGTCGAAAATTTGAAAAAAAGAAAAGAGATGAACAAGGAAATATTAAAAGATGAAATTAGTTGTTGGTTATAGGAAAATGGCGAATTCGAAGGCTTACCAGCCCAAAATGGCGGAACACCACATAATAATATGTAGAGGATAACGCCTGCGCTCCATACATCACTTTCATGGCCGTAATATTTATGCAACACTTCAGGCGCAACATAGTAGGGACTTCCAACTACATCAGAAAGATATTGTCCTGGCGAGTGAAGTACAAGTAGGAACATTATCATCAAAATCTTCATCAGATTATATTGATAATTCTCATCATAATTCAAGATCTACTAATTCCTGTGTACAAATAAATTCCAAAGCCACGACATATTTGAACAGAGAAATTAACAAAATGGATCAAACAGAATCCAAGAACATACCAGGTTTGAAGAAAACTGATAATCCAAAATCTGTAGCCTTAAGCTTTGCATCCTCGTCAGGAGTATCGAAAAGAAAATTTTCCGGCTTAAGATCCCTATGCATTACACCAAGAGAATGACAAGCCTCGACCACCCCAACAATTGTTTTCATAAGGTGAGCTGCTTTTTTCTCGCTGTAATGGCCCTTTTGAACAATCCTATCGAAAAGCTCGCCACCTGCACACAATTCCATAACCAAATGAACAAACACATTGTCTTCGTAAGTCCCTTTAATCCTCACAACATGAGGATGCTCCGACAAGTGGTGCATTATTTGAATTTCCCTCCAAACATCATCGTAATCGTCCCTGCACAAAAGCTTGCGTTTTGGGATCGATTTACATGCATATTCAATGCCTGTGGCCTTCTCTGTGCAATGATAAGTCGTTCCGAATTGGCCTTGGCCTAATTTTCTCCCCAAATTGTAATGATCTCGGAGTCTTGGGGTTTGATAAGGAAGAACTGCTGATGCAATCTTTGAGGACGATCCTGAAGAATGTTTCTTCATTGATTGTTGTTAGTAGGGACCTATCTATCTCTGAGCTCTTTGTACTCTCTCTATCTACAATTTCGTTTTGTTTTTGAAGTTTGAGAAAAAATCTCTATTCTGTTTTCGTTTCACCATAAATTAGTAAAAGTAACTAATAATTGATTTTTGGTCGTACAATTTGGCGGGGTTTGTGGTGGAGCTTGACTGAGTGCATTTTGCCTTTTGCTTGTGGTAATTTCTCATTGTACATTATTAGAGGTACTGACATCATTTTTACGCCAGGAATGTCAACGGGTCGGAGCGGGCTAAAGCACCCTGTCATGAATTTTCAGGGGGCAGGCGGATTAAAATATTCTTATTTGAGTCATGAAGGAGAATAACCCTTCTTATTTAGTCCGTGTGGAGTGATTTTTTTAAAATCGTTTTTTTCGCACATTCATTTTCAACCACGTATTCTTAAGAAAGTATTTCCACGTATCTTCATATTATTTTCCTACTTTTTCATCAAACATTCTAAAAAAAAAACATCAATTTTCAAAAACTCTCCCACACCAAAAGATTAGGGCGGGTTATCATTGTAATTTTCAGGAAGTATTTCTCAATAAAATTTAGCAAAAAATCAATTTTTTCAATTTTTCATCTAAGATACAGTAAAGTGCAGTGCCTCATTTATGTAAATTTTCAGCTCATGCAAAAAAAAAAAAAAAAAAACCTTATAACTTCATAGACATGAAACTGAAAAAAATGGGGGGAAAAACAATGTTTTATGTCCTTCAATTAGTGTGTCAAGTAATACGTAATAAATTCACAATTGCAGAATAACAAAAGAGTCAAAATGTAAATTAACAGTTCAACCTATGGCCTTGGACAGTATGATCTTTGACAACTTTTATAAAGGACTTGACAAGGGCTGTTATTTATATATTAATTCACTACAAATTCTATCCAAGTATGCACTTTTGACATGCTCAGCAGTGTAAATTGGACAATACTGAAGAAGAAAAATAAGTTAAAATGGCGTATGTCCAATACATTGCATACCAAACACGCTTAACTAAAAGTCGGGAAAGCATTCGAGTAATTGGCTGACATGGTTTGCTCACTGTTTTGGGACATTAATAACAGGTTTGTGTAAGCATGTGATGAAGGCTCAGTTACTTCTGATGCAAGTAACATATCCAAGCTCTTCCAATCACTAATTTGATCCCCATAATTGCTTTTATAATCCTCGGTCGACTCTTCATTCCCAAATATTGCATTACTGTCGAAAAGTAAACTTTCTTTCGTCGTAAAATCACTTGTTAACATAGCTGGGCTATCGAGTTCTGGAAGTTCAACTATTTGATTTTCGAAAACCGGAGCAAATGGAGACTGCTGAAAATTCGTCCCTTGATTAATTGGATCGAAAGGTTGCATTGCATTCGGGGTGCTTGGATATGATGAATTAGGCCTGTCATTTCTGTTGATTGATCTGGTATAGTAAACATTATTCCATGCTTCAAAACCTTGCTTCTGATTTGGGCTCGGCTTCTTGAATGCGCGACAAACCACCCATCCTTCTTCCTGTAATGTTCGATAATTTTAATGCTGTAATTTCTATATAATGCAATGCAAGAACTACATCTACTTGGCTTTGTGCAAGTTTTTTAATTATGATGGAGAACAAGGGTACACCATTTTTGTCATGCCTCCCATGGTGTCAGATTGCCCACTAAAAGGACGACCTAATAAATGCATAGAATACTCTATATATATAATTGTCTTTATTTTATACTGATGCAGTACAATAAAGAAAGGAAGAAGAAAGTGTTAAGGGATAGAATTTCATATCGAATAAAGATGTAAACATAAATCAACTTATAAAGGATTAAGTTACTCCTTTTAATAAGGTTGACCTTTTAAGTTTAAGATGTAACCTCAATTCTTAACATGGTATCAGAATCCATTAAACTCTAACGAGCAATTCTATCCGGTCAAGACTCTAAAAGTGAACATACGGTTTCAAGATGGTCTTATCAAACGAGTCACCATCTTGTGAGGGCATGTTAAGGTATAGAATCTCATATCGAATAAAAATGTAAGCATAAACCAACTTATAAAGAATTGTGTTACTTCTCTTAATAAGGTTGACCTTTTAAGATGGAACCTCAATTCTCAACAGAAAGCTTGTCTCTCCAATTAGCAATTTTTAACTTCAAAAAGTGCTTTCAAAACTAGTGGTTGTCACCTTTGCAATCATTACAGATTAATAAAAAAAATTTGAAGAGGGTAATGAATTTATAAAAATCATATTTTTTAAGAAGAAAAATATAAATAAAAAGCAAATATTTGAGATGAGCATTATTCAAGATTTCTACTGTAATAATCAGAAGATATACAACTATATCTAGATGTGTTTATTTTTCATAATTCAAGGGAAAGTCACTTCTAATGTATGAACTTATTTCTTGCTCTTAGACTATCTTAGTATCTATTTATATGAGCAATAATAAAATCAGAAATTAATACACACAAATTTAAAGTAATTTGCCTGAGATGATGTTGAAATTACCTGAGAGGGTCCATGTTCAGATGTTTGGAGCCGATATTCGTGCATGATCCAGTCAGTTTTCTGTCCATTTGGTGCGCGTCCTTTGTAGAATACTAATGTCTTCCTCATCCCTATCATTTTGTCATTCGAAAGCACTGCCTTATCCCTTCCGGTTGCCTTCCAGAAACCGGCAGCAGTTGCCCTGTTTGTTCGCGTTCCTGTTGGATACTTCCTGTCCTTGTGACTGAAAAAGTACCACTCATTTTGTTCTTCATATCCCGATTTGCACTGATCTGCAGTAAAAAAAGTCGTAGTATGGATAATCAGAACCTATTCTGCCCCATAAATGCTGTTAGGGAAATATGGGACTCAGCTAATTCGCAAACTAAAGTGAAATTGAGAACAATGCTGCATAGATAATTTGATAAGGTCAAAAATTATTTAAAAAATTTAAACTGCAAATGGTTACCTTGAATGTCCCAGGGCTCCATTCTGTAGAGATCAATGTCAGTGATGATGTCAAGATCAATTTTCATGGCGTTAACTCTTCTGTTTAAGTAGTAGCCAACGAGTTCTTCCTCGGTGGGGTGAAATCGAAAGCCTGGAGGGATACATGGTTCCATTTCCATAGTCGAATCTGTACTATTTCCTGGAAAGGAATGCCAAATTTATGTTAGGAAGAGAGCTGAATTCTGATCAAAAGATTTCAGTTCATTCGTTAGTACTAAATTTAAACGAATAATGCAAATCCGAAGAACATGTTTGGTGCTCAGTATTAAATAGAATTGAATTGTATGGTCTACTATTACAATCTATCTTACCAAAAAAATCATAAAAGCAAACCGGTACCCCAAAGATATTTTCATTCTTTAGGTTTATTGTAAAGCTACTTCAGGAAAAAAGTTCACAAATTACAGAGAGTAAAATTCTTACAACTTGTTTTTTGTGAAATTGTCATGATTCGTTCATATATCCACTCGTGAACACTATGGTTAGATGGTCCCATGAATTGTTGCTGCGTGTGTTGGAATTGTGTTTTATGAGGAAAAAATGGCAGACCAAATGTGGTATCCCACCCCAAAAACAAAATGATTCATGCTAAAACATGGGCCAATACATGTGTAGCAAAATTAAGGACATTTATCAAAAAAGTGGCCGTAAAAATTTGACTTGTGAACACGGGGCATGCTCGTTTCTTTGAGTGCATTCCACTGCACCCCTCGTGGTGGTGGAGGGTTTTTCAAACCCACCCTTCATCACACCATTTCTGAACCAGAACATAAAATTCCCGACTCCGTACTTTGATCCGGTTGCATTTTTCCGATCCAAAGTGCGTTTAGAACCGACTTTACATTGCGTGCACACAAAAAGAGAGAAGATATATAGATAAACTAGCTAACAAGAGAGATTCTGCAATGCATACAATCTGATTAATAAGATCTGGGACAAGGGTTTGAAGTTGATGAGTTTCTTTTTCCATTAAAGCCCACTTCGGGTGGTCAGGAGGAGACTCGACTTGACCTCCGAACGGGTTAAAGCTAAAAAACCACACTTGATGGATCTAGATGAAAGAAAATAGATTCCTATTTCATTTTGCTATACACATACAAATGCATGAATACAAATTTACATCCAAAAGCACTGGAATAAGAAAAAGACTAACCACAAGTTCAACCTTTCGTGTGCGTTCTTGAACTGCCTAGTTAGAGAGAGAGAGATAGAATAGATTTCTTGGAATAGGAGGTGAATATATTGGTGAAGAGAATGACTTGATTGTATTAAATGTTGGTTAATGCTGTTGGTAAGAGGGCTCTTTATATATTTTTACGATAAGCCAACAAACAGTTATTGAATATGACTGATCAAACATAAGATTTATATATATATAGAAAATAAAGTTTCACGAAGTCCATATACACATACAAAAGGTAATGTAAGTAAAAGAGATTGTATATATGTTATTGATTACGCGTGGGGTGGCAGATAGGATCGAAGCTTTGTTAGGACGGCGTGACACCAAATTTTCACGCCATCCTCCACCGTTATATTGTGCCCTAAGACTTTAATTTCCACTTCTCTGAAAATGAACTTGGATGGTGAACGTGACAATAAAGAAATTATTCCATCTTGAAGGTAATTACGGGTGTAAGTGACGAGAGAGGAGATCAGCTTCACCTTTCTATCCGATCGAGAATGGAATGAAGCTATGGACTTTTCTGATTTGAATTGTAGTAATAAAGTTTCCATCTAGTAGAACGTTTAGATGTGATGAGGAAGTAAAGAGACACTACACTCGGCGTATGATGACGAAGAGTATCTCTAATGACTGTTTTGCGTTATTTCATTGTAATCCTTATTTCTCATCGAGAAATATAATTCTTTTGAATTTTTAACCGGAGTTGAGATCGATTTATTGCTAATAGTGGTTATAGTAAAAACAAACATCTTGTCATTGTTCTTGTCACTGCCATTGACATTTGAATTAGCACAAAAACATATTTGCATTTTGCTCTTCCCACAATCCAGCAATTCTTGTCTGTTAGGTGCGCCGCCCTTAGACATTTGGAACCAGTAGACGGACGACATGTGGACGACACCTTGAATTCCGAGCTGTCTATTTCAGTATGTTAATCATTTGTGGTGTCATGTTTATTTTAGTGAGACGAGTCTTAGAAAAGCCGTCATCCAGCTTCTCTGTATTTAGTCTTGGTTTAACGATGATGCTATATGTACTAGCCTTGGTTTAACGATGATACTATATGTACATCATCTTTTATATCTTTCTTTACATTGTGCTACATGGCAAAACAGCATTGTACAGTTTAAAAATAAGAACAATTTTTTTGCCCATAATTTTCAAAAAACATAGGCTATGTAAAAAAGAATGTAAAGAAAGGAGTGTACATTTAGTGCCCGTTTGGTAGCAATTTTGGTCCAATTTTAATTAAAACTGTGATCGTTTAATGTTGTCAGTGGGACCTGCATGTGAGAGGGCCAGTCAAACTTTGCGGCTGACTTTGATGTTAACGGTCAGAAAATTCATTCTTTTTATTAGAAAAATTGCTACCAAACACAGCCTTAGTATTATTGTTGGTTTAATGCATGTCGGGTGAAATTTAATGAATCCTTTTTTAATTATTATTTTTATAAGAATACAAGTCTTTTGTTATTCCACGATAATTTAGAGCTTTATTTACAATTTTTTGAAAGTTGGTACTTGGGTTTTCTTATTTTCTTCAAATACAAGAACTAGAGTTTAACTGTTTGTGGGTTGTTTAGATAAGATCATATTCAACTTCGAGATTTTTTTTTAGATTCAACTTTGAATTATACTCTTCGGATCAAATGAATGATTTTGTTGATGTAAATCAATCCTCGACATCGTTTAGAATTAACAACTGTTGATGGATCATTCTCGATATATTGTTGAATAAATGAGATGTTATACTGTATTAGATCGTACTCTATTTCTTGCACCTATTGTATTTATAACATGCTTATTTATATGAACAATCCGGCCTATAAGATGCCAAACTCTGCTGGCGGGTAGCGGCTGCAAGTTTCTACGTCAACAAAAAAATAAAAATAAAAATAGAGTGCCTTATCCTTATTAGAACCCCATAATTTTAGAAGAAAAAGAAAGACAAAAAGATAAAAGAAGAAAATAAATTTTAAAAAAATGTATCAGTAGAAAAAAATACCACTTTTTGGTTGCACATGCTTTCTTTATTATACTTAATACAATATATGTAAGTTGTTCAATTATTTTAAGACAACCTAGTTTGTGAAACTTGAGTACGATACAAGATAAGAGCCCAAACACATATTTTAATATATCTTTGTATTTAAAATAATAAAATCTATTTATTAAGGCACGATGACAACAAAAAACCTTAAAAAGTAAACACGATCAGTTTCAACATTTCGTGGCTGAACATTGTTTTGATTCTTCTTCTTCTTTCTTTATTCTATATATATATTTTTTAGTATGCACTTTATGTTTTTGACAGAGAGAAGAATAGCAAAATATAAGCAGATTCAAGAGAAAAAATGGTGTCTTTATTCATCGATGTATTGCATCTTTAATATAGCACGACAATGAGTCTATATCGTATTATTGAAATAAAGAATAAATGAGCATACAGCGTTTAGGGCGGATTCTTTAGTTTAGTTTGGATGATATATGGCTCAATTCTGCATCTACGACTAGCTGCAATTTTTGATAGCATCAATTTATCACAGTGCATGTTACAATTTCTTACGACATTGCATCATCCATAAATGTTAGAGCTAGATGTCTTATGTGAGATTCTTTTAAGATAATTGTTCTCAGACTTGATGTTGGCAGCAGAAATTAAGGTAAAAAATTTCGTCATCAAAAGCAAAATTTATAGAAATTAAAATATGGACGGACATGAGTTTTTATATGAGTTCAATTATCCGTATATTTATCAGCATTATTATTCTAGTAATTTTAATATTAACACTAATTATGTGATACTAATTGACAAATTAAATGATGAAGTGGTCCTTTCAATCGAGTATTTATGGCTTTGTGCGGTCGGAAAGTAAATTTTTTCTGATTTAACTCTACACTACTAGTTAATATTTTATAAATAGCATCGTAGTGTACATCACAATATAAAAATGGATGCAACCATTGTGGAATTTATCTCTTTAACAATGACGCCTCGCAAGATGATGACTTGTTTGAGAATATTAATTATCTTGAAATTCGTGTGTTCTTTTACATCTTAATATGATCGAATTACTCGTTTAAATTTAATAAACAGGTTTATATAATAGTAATAGTAAGACTTGATGTTCCATATTAAAATCTTATCCTTATTAAGAATATTGGTAACTCAAGCTTTTATACATTGTGTTATATATTTATGCAATAAAGATAATATGTGAAAGCAATAACTAATGCTGATGAAGTATCCAATTGGTGAAAAGTGTGGAATTTGTGTGGTAGGTACCTCACGCATTATATTAAAAGTCTTTGATTGGGAATTATTTTTAATCATTTTCGGAATTATTTAATAGGTCAACTAGCCAGTAAAACATGACAGTTTTTAACTGTCCAGTGTTAATAACCCATTACCACTAGCCATAAAAATTACAAATAAATACTGGATCATGGTGGAGGCAATTATATCATTTTTCTGCCTATATAAACACACATTTGGGTATTAGAAATACATAACAAAAAACAAAATTGTATCTTCCTATTTAGAAAATATATTATACTTTATTTTACATATTTTCTGGAGTACACTTGAGAATTCTGAAAATTATTTGTGATTGCTGCACGATTGGTTTATTTAATCGTTGTATCCTGGAGGTGATTGTCCACAGAGGTCGCAACAGTTATCGACGGACAATTTCACTTTAGGATATTGTGCTGTCAAGAGATTTAATCAGTCGGTAAGTTTTTATTTTTGCACTTTACTGTATTGCAACTAGTAAAATTTCTAACACATTGATCTATATTTGGATATATTAAAAATATTTGATGCCGAGCCGCCTCCTAAATTTGTGCTATACTTTTATCGTCCTTGTTAATAAAGTATATCTATTTTGATATACTTTAATTTTTCAATATATTTAATGTGAAATT